TGGTCCTTGTAGGTGGGGTTCACACCCTACTGACAATGGTTTCAATAGTGAACCAGAGAACAGGTCAAACCAGCTCAGTGACACCCAAAATTAAGCTGACTCCCTGAATCTAGGATCTACCATTTTGTCACATGTGTACCCCCAATACCTCCCCTTCCTATTGCATGGATACCCCTAGATCATCCCCATCTCATTACTGTAGTGCCTGTAGCACAACCCCTTCCTATGATGTAAGTCTTGACCTGTAATTAGGGGGCTTGTATACCCCCCCAAAGAGATATAAGCCTTGGTTAGCAATAAAGGTCTCTCTCCCCAGTCCTTTCCCCTCTATCACTTGCTCCTGAAATTCCCACCTTCCACATCTCCACGTGGACCACCAAGAGGAGCTGAGGTGAGCACGCTACCATGAAATGTGTCTGACTCCATTATTTCAATCTCTCTTCTATCTTTCATTCTCTCTATGACTTTACTATAATCTTTACTTGTTATCACTGTCCAATTGTGCCTACTGGACCTGTGATGATGTGTTAGGGGCTGGCTTCCCTGACAGAAACCTGAATCCTTTTTTTTTTTTTTTAAACACAGAAATACTTTATTTCTCCTGGTTCTAGTAGCAAACACAGAGAAGAGCAAGTATAAAGCAGACTTTACTTCCGAAGGCAGGCTTTTATGCCCAGGAAAAGATATCTGGTATCTTTGAAGCCACAGTTTTAGTCCAGGCCTGATTCCCTTTTATACCAATTCACAAACATTTTTCTTGCTTTTAAGATTGCTTTTGTTTTGAAGGTCATGGACCGTTTTCCCACTTGTTTGATGGAATATTTATTCCACTTGCTCGCCCAGACATAAAATGGACGGTATGTATTTATATATTCTATATGTAATAAATAAAAAAAACTATTTGAGAGGTTTATTCAGTTATTTGTTTAGTTCCACTGTTGTATTTCCCATTATAGTTTCCAGGGGGTGGGGGTGGGAGTGAGATAGATTGTGTATTTGGATAAAAGAAGGCCTCTACATGTCCAATTAGAATTATTGAAGTTTTATTTTTAATATCAGGCTCATCTGGGCTGCAGAGGAAATATTCAAAAGGAACCTCTCTCCAGACAGCAGCCCCATCTTCCCTAGCCAATTTTCTTTCATATTATTCAGGGAAGGTAGAATACAGAAAACAGAAGAAAAAGCAAGTTAAAATCCATATATCACTAAGTGGTATTGACAGAAGGGAGACAGTGGATGGTGCGGTGAGTTTGATTTTGACAGTGATGCAGTAGCAACGACAATCATGTTATGGTTGGGGTGTCAGACCCCAACATGAGGAACTGTACTGAAGGGTCGCGGCATGAGGAAGGTGGGGGACCACTGATCTAGAACTGATGGCGGTGATGACTGCACACCTCTTCTTGATATGATTGAATTGTATGACCTGTGAAAGAAGTGCCAATAAAATTGTTAAGAGAAAAAAGAAGAGTTATGGACGCAGAGACTCACAGGGCTGTCCTATAGGGTCACTATGACCTGGCGTCCACTCAATGGCAGGGAGTGTGGTTTGGTTTTAGAGTAGAGCCCTGGGGGTATATTGAGTTCTGCATTGGGCTGCTCGCTACAAGGTGAGTGGTTCAAACCCACCAACCTCTCAGGGAGAAAGGGGAGACAGTATACTTTGTAACGGATTTACAGCTTCAGAAACACAGTCTAGAGTCCCCGGGGTCCTCAAACTTTTTAAACAGGGGGCCAGTTCACTGTCCCTCAGACCCATTGGAGGACTAGACTATAGTTTAAAAAAAAAACAAAACTATGAACAAATTCCTATGCACACTGCACATATCTTATTTTGAAGTAAAAACAAAACAGGGCAAAAGCACCCGGCGGGCCAGATAAATGTCCTTGGCGGGCGCATGTGGCCCGCCTCGGGGCTGTAGTGTGAGGACCCCTGCTCTAGACTCTAGAGTCATTGCGAGTCAAAGTTGACTCGCTAGCAGTGGATTTGGCTGCCTTTGGATATGGTGCGTCATCTCAGTAAGCTCTTGAAAACTCTTAGAGTTAATATTACTGGTGATCATTTGGTTAAGTCAAATGTATTCTCTGTAAAATTACTCTTATTCTTTATCATCTGTATGTATCTTTGATGTAATTTTTTAAAATAGTTATAGGACCACTGAGGGTTCTCTCCAGGCAATGTTTGGTTAAGACCTGGCTTAGGGCAGGTTCTGTGGGGGGTCATTTGATCTTTATAATGAGTGGGCCTCAGAGAGACAGGTAAAAATACTCAGGCTGATAGGAGATTCCAACTCCAAGCTAACTTTGAATGCCCTTGGAAAAACTGTCTGGCAAACTTGCAACTACCCTTTTCCACCACTACATGGAAGTGTTAACACAATTGTAGCTTCACATCTTGTTCTGAATTTTTAGCAGAACTGAATTTTATAGTGATACTCATTTACGTAAGGATCCCTGATGGCACTGTGGGTTAGGAAGTGGACTGCTAGCCACAAGACTCATGGTTCAAACCTACCAGCCACTGCGGGAGAAAGATGAAGCTGTCAGTTCCCATGAAAATTTACAGCCTCTGAAAATGCTATGTGTAACAGCTATGAGTGGGAATCAACTTGATAGCAGTGGGTTTGGTTTTTTGTTTTTATTCATGAAAACAGAGTTCTACCTGTATGACCTGATCATAATCTTGTAGGCACTGTAAATAAATATATCTCATTAATGCATTAAATATCTTAATAAAATGGTGACCATGGTTTGTAAGAAAGTAGAAAATACTGACAAATTTGACAGGTTTTTAACATGAATCTTAAAGATGATAGTTGGAAACTAGATAATTAACCTGCAGTAGAATTTATTCTTTTTTTTTTTTTAAGTTTTGTTAGCATTTCATCCACGTGTCATACAATTCAATAATTCAAGCATATCAAGAAGAGTTGTACAAAAAAATTTGTACAATTGTTACCATATTCAATTCTAGAATGTTTTCTTCTTCCTTGTACTCATCCTTATTTGTGTAATTTTTTTTAATGTGGCAAAAACATACAAAACAAAAGTCTCCAATTCCACACCTTCTTCTTGTAGTATTCAGTGCCATTGATTATGCCCTTCATGCTGTACAACCACTACTGAGATATCCCACCACCATCGACATAAACTCAGTGCCCCTATGCAGGAACTCTTCCCCCTCACCCTTGGCAACCATTGGTCAAGTGTGGTTTCCTTGAAATAGTATGCATATATCATACATTTCCATGGTTAAATAGCGTTTTTAATGAGTTGTGTACACAACATCGCAATCATTTCTAGTACATCCTCTCTCTTCCCGCATTCAGCGTTTGCTCCCCAAACCCCCCTCCCTCTCCTTCCCCATCCCACCCCTCCACCCCCCCACCCCATCCCCTATAAACCATTGCATCAGTTATTTTCTCTATGCATCCACTCCAACTGTGCTTCACAAACTGGGAAACCCAACAGAAACAAAAAACAAAATAAAATGGCAAGAACTTAATAATATAAAGATAAAAATACAAATAAAGAGTAAGGAAGAAAAGACCACCATCAATATTTAAAAAGTCAGAGGGGAAAAAAATTCTGTCATGGAACCAGCAAGAAATACTTGAGCTTAGAATAAACTCAGTTGGGTCAAGAGGGAGGCCAGCTGACCAAGCATCAATTATACCAGGTTCAGGCCACCATCATCAAGTTCACAATCGTCTGTCTGGTCGTTGGGCCTGTGACTAGAGAGCATCTGCCAGAGGTTTCCACTGACTGCATGCTTGCAGATGGGTCTGGGGCTCCCACTCTCCTCCATATCCTTCTGAAAATTGGGCTGGGTACAGTAGAACTTATTCTCTGAAGTACCTGGACCCAACTAATTTGGATCGTGTGGAAGGATGTCATGCTTGGTAGAGGAGCAGGGCAGCGAAAAGAGGAACACCTTCAACAAGACGACGGAAGGACACACAGGCTGCATCAAGGGGCTCAAACCTAAGAACAATGGTGAGGGTGGTGCAGGACCAGGCAGTGTTTCCTTCTGTTGGGCACAGGGCTGCTGTGAGTGAGAAGCAAGTAGACGGCACCTAACAACAACCGGAGGCCTCGTGGGCCAGCAAGGAGCACTGGGGACCCTGGTTAAGCCCCGGGTTGCTAACGAGAAGATCGACCTTTCTCCAGCTGCTCTGCAGAAGAAAGATGTGGCGTCTCCTTCAGTAGAGATCACATCCTGGGAAACCCTGGAGGAAAATGCTACTCTGTCTTGTATGTCTAGGCTCACTGTTTGCCAGAATCAAAGCAGCAACATCGGGTTTGGCTTGAGAATTGGCCACCGTCTATGATCGACCTTATTCTCTTGTTGTTTTCTAGCACGAACAGGGCTCCATCATGATGTTTGATCACCTGGTTGAGTCTAATGGACTCAGAGAAGTCATGGAGCACTACGGACTCGTCCCTGAAGAAGACATCTGTTTCATCAAGGAACAGATCATAGGACCACTTGAATTCTCAGTGCAAGAGCCTACTGTGAGTTTCTGTACAGCTTCATTTGACCCGAAGGATGCTTTTGATCTTTTTAAAAAATTTTATTATTAATCGGGAGTTAATTCAAGTATCGTTATCATTCCATTGTTCAATCACATCCAGCAGAATTGCACAATTGCTACCACCGTCCATTTCCAAACATTCTTTTTCTTCCTGGACTTCTGGACATCATCTCTCTCTCAGACACCGACACTTTCGACCTTGTCTTTTCTTGATTCCTTCAAAGCTACACCTTTGCCTATTTCATACATTATGTGTTTCTACTGTGGATGCAACTAATGAAGCATATACACAGGCTCTTCAACTGAGTTCGTTAAAAATTGTGCCCCCCATATTAAAAGCACATTAGACATCTTTTAATAAATATAGATGATATATTTTTGTAAGGAAATCCAAGGTACGTTTGTTTAGCATTTCTTTCCCTTTTCTACTAACTTAGGAATCAAGTAGAGAAAGAAAGAGTAGAACCATTGAATGTATCTCATGTTTGCAGTCAAGTGCCTGGTTATCGTTTTCAAATGACTGCAATTGCTTTGCCTTGCTCACACATAGAATCTGGTGCCTCCCCTCAAACTTCCCATGGGGTTCCTTGTCTTCCAGTGGACCTACAAAGGGCGGCCTAAAGAGAAACGCTTCCTCTATGAGATAGTGGCCAATAAGCGCAATGGCATTGATGTGGACAAGTGGGACTATTTTGCCAGGTGGGCACTGAACGCTTTATAGAAGTTTGTTGGGATCCTTATGCACATTCAGGGCTCATATGTAAAGTACAATTTCCTTGTTGAAATTTTTTAAATCTCTTTATCTTTTAGAGACTGCCATCATCTTGGAATCCAAAATAATTTTGATCATGAACGCTTTATCAAGTTTGCCCGTGTCTGTGAAGTAGATGAGGACAGGTATATCTGTACTAGAGAAAAGGTAAATTATGTCGAGGGAAGCAATAAAGAAGATGTCATTCCTGATCTACAATCTAGAAATAACCATCCACCGGTGTGGAAAAAATCAGTACCTTGTGAAAATAGTCCATCTCACAACAGAAAAGTGGGTGAAGGGAGACGTCGGACAGGGCAAGATATGACAAAATAATAATTTATAAATTATCAAGGCCTCATGAGGGATGGGGGAGGGAGGGGAAGAAATGAGGACCTGATGCCAGGGGCTTAAGTGGAGAGCAAATGTTTTGAGAATGACGAGGACAATGAATGTACAAATGTGCTTTACACAATTGATGTATGCATGGATTGTGATAAGAGTCGTATGAGCCTCTAATAAAATGATTAAAAAATAGTCCATCTATTTACTTTAGATCTAGTATTTGTTAGGGTTTTAAGACTCTTTTTATTTCTCTTGTACTGCCAAATAATGAAAATAAAATTCGAATCATTCATTGAATGTTGTGGTAAGCGCCATTCTAAGTGCTTTGCATGGATTAACTTAATTCCTACAACTCTGTGAGATGGGAGCTATTGTTATCATCCCATTGAAGGTGAGCCAGTTGAGGCAGGAGAAGGCATGCACCGAACAAGTGGCAAAGCTGGAATGCAACCCTGGTCGTTTGGCTCCAGAGCCTCATTGCTTTATTACTACATTAGTGTTTCAGAACAGTGACAATCCTTTGATCCTGCTAGATTATAAACGATAAGATGACCTTATATTGTGTTGAGAGTAAAGAATACAAGGTAATAATACCTATTTCCTAGACTTAGAGGAAGATTGGAGAAAATAAGTTTTAGGATGTCTTGAACAGAACCTGTTCCCAGAATTAAAGACCTCAGTAGATTTCACTTGACTATTGGTCAGTAAGAATGAATGTTGCAATCCAATAAACAGCTTTACTAATCTACATCCCTCATTTTCAGTGGGCTCAGAGTCTTTAATTTAGTCCTATACTTAACCTTTTTGTCTGCCACTATCTCTTTTCCTTGGCTGTAGACTTGGATATACTCTTAGCACTGCATTAGTACTTACTGTGTGTCTTCCTGCAGGAAGTTTGGAACCTGTATGACATGTTCTACACACGCTACTCTCTGCACCGCCGAGCTTACCAACACAGAGTTGGCAACATCATCGAGATCATGTAAGAAATACGATGTCCCTTCGCTATAAAATGTCCCTGATCCTTTACTAGAATATCACCGTTGGGCTGGTTGGGATTTCTGGAAAAAATCCAGATGAATTTTAGCTGAAAAAATCTGAAATCATTTCCTTAACTAGTACACAGTGAACTAACTTTAGTGCTAGGGCGAGTGGGACGATGGCGGTGGGTGAAGAGGGAAGAAGAGCCGACTTGGGTTAGACCTGAAGAGGCAGTGCCGGAAAGACTCAGATTTCCACGTAGGTAGTGGATTAGATACCAGTCGACATAGATTCATGAAATTAATTTTACGATTGAAGATTAATGTCTTCTGGTGCTGTCAACTATTTATCAAAATTAGCCGATAGCAAACCCCACAACAATTAGCATTATAGCAAAGCCACAGGAATTGCACATCTTGGTTCGAGTGGGTCAGAATCAGAGTCAAGTCTCTGTGTGATTCGTTGGCATCATGTGAACTTACCAAAAGTTGGGTGTGCCATTCCATGTCTGTGAACTAGCTTCAGTCTATTTTATCTAAACCTTTGGACACAAATTTAGGTTGAAGGAACTTCTCTTTGTTTCCCCCCAACCCCCAACAAACAGATTAGTTGATTACATTGACCTGTTTGTATGATTGCTATTTTGGTAGAGTTTTTGTTTTGTTTTTAATTTGGAAAAATCCAGGTTCAAAGACTGCCATTGCGTCTTCCGAACTTAGTTAAATGAAAATACTTAATTTCTGCATCTGCAAAATTGAGGATGCTAAAACCTACCTTTTTTTTGTTGGGAAACAAGCATTTTAAATCTAGCTAAAGCTCTGCTATGGTGCCTGGAACACGGTAAACAGGTCAGTTCGTGAGAACATAATCGAGAAGCTGTGCCCTTTTGAGTGCCACATCCTACTGGAGCTTTCGGCAAGTCTAAGGAAATAGTCATCGTTTCTCACAAGCACAACTTTTTATAAAACGATTCTCTTTAGGATTGCAGATGCTTTCCTCAAAGCAGACGCCCATATAGAGATTACAGGTGCTGCGGGGAAAAAGTACCGCATTTCTACAGCAATTGATGACATGGAAGCCTTCACGAAACTAACAGGTAAGAACTAGAGTGACCCATCTCAGGTAAAGGATAAACCGTCCCTGGCAACCCAGATGGGTCAGATTCTCCAAACCTTCAAGTGTTAGTTCAGGTTCCCAAGTGATTATTACATTTGGATTTGAGTTTTAGCTCTGCTTTGTAAGACTTTAACATAAGGTGACTTTAACAAAGTCATTTAGTCTCATTCAACCTTACTGTTCTCATCTTGTGAGATGGACGAAGTGATGTGGGTGTGAGGTCCATTGGGTCGGCTCCGGCAGAATGCGCATTAGATTGGAGCAGAAATACATGAATCCCCTCCCCCCCACTATCATGATCCCAATTCTGCCTTACAAATCTGGCTGGACCAGAGAATGTACATTGGTACAGATAGCAACTGGAAACACAGGGAATCCAGGGCAGATGACTCTTTCAGGACCAGTGGTAAGAGAGGCGATGCCTAGAGGGTGGAGGGAATGTAGGGTAGAAAGGGGGAACCGATTACAAGAATCTACGGATAACCGCCTCCCTGTGGGGATGGACAGCAGAGATGAGGGCAGAGGGAGACGTCAGACAGTGTAACTTATGACAAAGCAATAATAATTTATGAATTATGAAGGGTTCATGAGAGAGGGTGGGGGGAGGGAGGGGGAAAATGAGCAGCCAATATTAAGGGCTAAAGTAGAAGGCAAATATTTTGAGAATGGTGAGGGCAACAAATGTACATATGTGCTTGACACAATGGATGGATTATGAATTGTGATAAGAATGGTACGAGCCCCCAATAAAATAATTAAAAAAAAAGAAAGACATGAATCCTATAAAACAAAAACAAGACAAGAATTCAATTCTCTGAAAGCCTTAACAAGATTGACAAGGTACTGGCAAACCTCTCAAAGGAAAAGAGAGAAGATGTAAGTACCGTTGACTGACAGATTGAGCGACATCACAACAGAGCCTAACGAAATGAGTAAGGCGGGCACACAGGACAGCGCTCTGCCAAACGTGAACAATGTGAAGAAATGCCTACCCGATCTTACGCAGACGGGTGTAGAAGAACTGAAGATAGCTCTCACAAAAGAAGAAACCGATCTGGTTATTTAGAAAATCCCCAATAAAAACAGTCGAGGACCAGATAGCTTACCTGGGGAATTCCATTCAGAGAAGATCTAATATTGATTCTACTCAAACTATTCCAGAATGTAGAAAATGATTGTAAATTCAAATTCCTTTTATGAAGGAAGCATATACCTCTTAGACCAGAACCAGGCAAAGACGTCACCTGAGCAGGAACACATCGATCAATAGCCCTTATGAACACAGCTACAAAAATTCTCAACAAAATTCTAGCCCGAAGAAGCCAACAAAATAATATTTTTTAAAAATAATACATCATGTCCAACTGGATTTATCCCAGGTACAGTCAAAATAATCCCTTTATAAGTAAAATAAAGGTTTAAAAAAAGCCTTCTTGAACCTATCAATTCAGAAAAGGCATTTGACAAAATCCATTACCTATTCCTCATTAAAAAACACTCAACAAAATAGGAATTGGAGATAAATTCCTCAAGCTGGTCAAGGGCGCATACGCAAACCAAGGACCAACCTTGAGCTCAAGGGGAGAACTGAAAGCATTCTCCTTGTGAACAGGAACCAGATACGATGCTCTTTAAGTTACTCTTATTAAATAGTGTGCTGGAGGTCTTTGCCAGAGCTATTTGACAACAAAGGGAAATTAAAATTAACGACATCCAAATTGGTGAAGAAGTAAAACTCTAGTTTCAAATGAATATGATTCTAGATAAAGAAAATTCTAAAAACTCAAAAAGAAAGTTTTGGAACGACTTGGAAGTATCAGTAACGTGGTACATGGTACAAGATCAACCTACAAAAATCAACCCAATTCTTGTATACTCATGATGAAACTCTGAAAGGGAAATCAAGAAAACAGTTCCCTTTAGCCACCCATAAGGAGAAATACTTAGGAAGAAACATAACTAGAAATAAAAGACTTGTACAAAGAAAACTACAGAACTACTGCAAGACACTGAAAGAGACCTGCAGAAATAGAAGCATATACCATGTTTATGGATCGGGATATTTAACATTGTGAAAATGCCGATACAACCCAAAGCAATTTATCCCCAAAACGAATCATCAGCTTTATATGAAAGGGAGAGAGACCCAGGATAAGCAAAACGCTACTGAAGAAGAGCACTTCCCTTTCACTTCCCGAACTGAGAAACCATAGACACATAGCCGTGGTATTCAGTGCAGCCTGGTACTGGTACTGACACCACCAATACATTAATACATCCCATGTACCATTGTGAGAAGCGATGACGGCATAGTGTTACACGCTGGACTGCTATCAGGGCTTTCGACTCCCGTAAACAGTTGCAGGCTCAGAAACTTGCAAGAGCTGGTCTACCCACTCTGGAGGGTCACTGTGAGTTGGCATGGACTTCAGGGCAATGAGTTTGGCTTGGTTTGACTGTGCACCATTGTGATAGGAGACCCGATGACGCAGTGCTTAGCCAGAAGATAAATGGTTGGAGCCCATCAGCCACTCTGGTTGAAAGATACGAGAATCTGATTTCATCAAGATTACAACCTTAGCACCTTATTGGGCAGTTCCACTCTGTCTTGTAGGGTCTCTGGGAGTCAGAATCTACTCGGTAGCAATGGATTTAAGGAGCTCTGGTGGCACAGAGGGTTCGGTACTTAGCTGGTAAATGAAAGGTCAACCTACCAGCTTCTTTGTGAAGAAGATGTGGCACTCTACTTTCTTAAAGAGCTAACCAAACCCACTGCCATCGAGTCTATTTCAAACGGCGGGCCGAATAGAATTGCTCCCTAGGGTTCCCAAGGCTGTAAATTTTTACAGGATCCAAAAGCCTCATCTTTACTACCTAAAAGAATTACAGCCTTAGAAACCTCATGAGAGTTCTACTCTGTGCTACCAGGTCAATATGAGTCGGAATCAACTCACAGGCAATGGGATGGAATAACCATCACTCAGTCTAACAACCATCTACTTAAATGCATTCTTTCTTCTCTACCTGTCTGCTGGGTTATTTTGAAGCAAATCTAAGATGCTGACTGGAACATGTTTAAAATGATTATAATCATAGTATATCTACATTGTGAACTCTTCCTGGAAAGCGTTTCATGGGTGCAGCAGTGTGCATCTTTTAAAATCTAGGTTTCTCATTTTACTATAACTGTGAAATGTCATCCAATTGGCAGATAACATTTTTCTGGAGATTTTATATTCTACTGATCCCAAACTGGATGAAGCAAGAGAGCTATTAAAAAAAATCGAATGCCGCCAACTATACAAGTATGTGAGTTGTACTCTTCTACCAGTGGGCAGTGGAAAGATGAAAAGGGTAAGTTGAATTATCTACCTTCCATGTCTGTGTTCCAAGAGAAAACCACCCATCAGCCCACTGCGACACCACAGTGCCATACTAAATAAGCCCTTTCCCTTCGTTCTCGCTTCCTCTTTACAGAACGCAATGTTCTTAGACCTGCTTTACAGCTGAGTAAGCTGAGGCTCGAGAGAAAGATGAAGTAACTTGTTCATGAACGCCCCCTTAGTGAGACAGCATTGACAGTCGGGGCTAATTGACTTTAAGCCTTTGCACTCACCCTAGAAATGAGGAGGGGACCTCGACTTTTGTCTAACTGACAGGCAAGAAAAGGGGTCTAAAGGATGTTGTTGTTAGGGGCCATGCATCTGTTCTAACCCATAGTGACCTGTGTACAATCGAAGGAAACAGCGCCTGGTCCCGTGCCATCCTCACAATTGTTCTTGTTTGTGCCCATCGATGCAGCCACTGTCAGTTCATCTCATTAAGGGTTTCTCTTTTTCGCTGTCCCTCCACCATACCAAACATGATGCTCTTCTCCGGGGACGGGTCTCGCCTAACAGGAGGTCCAAAGTATGTGAGGTGAAGTTTCACAATCGTTTCCTCGAAGGAGCATTCTGGCTGTACAGCTTCTAAGACACAACTGTTGGTTCTTTGGGCAGTCCATGGTATACCTTCAATAGTCTCCTCCATCACCATAGTTCAAATGCATCCATTCTTTTGGGGGATTCCTTATTCAGTGTCCAAGTTTTACGTGCATATGAGACGACAGGAAATACCGTGGCTTGAGTCAGGCGCACCTTAGTCCTCAAAGTGATATCCCTGCTTTTTAGCACGCGAAAGAATTCTTGTGCAGATTCACCCAATGCAATGAGGCATTTGATCTCTTGACTCCCACTCCCATGAGCATTCATTGTGGATTCAACCAAAGTGAAATTCTTCACAACTTCAGTCTTTTTTCTCTTTATCCTGATGTTCTCTAGTGGTCTAGTTGTGCGGATTCTGCTTTTCTTTACAATGACTTGTAATTCAGACTGAAGGCTGAAATCCTTGAAAGGTTGTTAATAAGCCTTCCTCCAATCTTAATGCTGAATTCTTTATATAATCCAGTTTCTCTGATTATTTGCTCAGCATTCAGATTGCATAAGGACGGTGAGAAGAAACAACCCTGATGCACACCTTTCCTGCTTTTAAATCACGCGGTCTCCCCTTGTTCTGTCTACATAGCTACCTCTTGATCCACATACAGGTTCCACATGAACATAATTAAGTGTTCTGGAATTCCCGTTCTTCTCAAGGGTGTCCATAGCTCTCTTTTGTGATCCACACAGTTGAATGCCTTTGTATAGTCAATGAAATGCAAGTAAACATTTGCATTTCTTTCTGGTATTCTCTACATTTAGCCAAGATCCATCTGATATCAGTAATAATATCCGTTGCTCCATGTCCTCTTCTGAATCCAGCCAGAACCTCTGATACCTCCCTGTCAATGTCCTGCCGCAACCATTGTTGGATGATCTTCATCAAAATTTGACTTGCATGTGATAACAATGATATTATTTCTAAACCGTGCAGGCTCGACTCCATTCTCATCCTTAAGGTCAGCTCTACTTTGAGAAGGCAGCTCTTCCTCAGCCATAATTTGAGGGCCTTCCCACCCGAGGGGCCCATCTTCTGGCACTCTCTCTGACAAATATGCTGCTTGCATTCATCAGATTTCCAGTAACTGACAATGTTTTCATGCCAGCTACAGGGTTTTCAGTGGCTAATACCTCTGAAGTGGACGGCCTATTCCTTCTTCGTAGTCTGTTCTTGGTCTGGAAGCTCTGCTGAAACCTGTTCACTTTGGGTGACCCTGCTGGTATTTGAAATCCCAGTGTTAGCTTTCAGCATCACTGCAACACACAAGCTGCCACAGCACAACAAAGGCACCGACAAGTAGTGGGATCTAAAGATAAGGGACCTTGAAGTTTTGCCATATTGTTTCACAATATGGCAGGTTCGCCTGGGAGCACTGATCTAGCTGTCTTCTGCAATTCCAAACCATCAGTGTTCTCCTCTTGCTGTGGAAGGTTTGTTTTGCTTTGCTTTTACCAGAAAGCCAGTCACAGGCGTCATACTGATAACCACATTCGACTTCATAACGCACCTTGTTTGTATTTTACTGCCTTCTCTTCACTAATAGGTTGACGCCATCTGGTTTCCAACTGTGAAGTTTTTGTCATGAAGCTTCTCTATGTGGTTTGTTTAAAGGATGACAAAGGTAGATGCTCTGTGTATGTTAGGAATATACCAAAAATGTCACTGCCATCAAGTTGGTGCTGGCTCAGTGTGGCCCTATGGGGCAGTTTCCGAGACTGGAAGTCTTTGTAGGAGTAGAAAGTATCATCTTTCTCGCCCCCACCCCCCCAATCAGGAGTGGCTGGTGGCTTCCAGCTGCTGAGCTTGCAGATCACAACCCAATGCATAACCACGACGCCCCCAGGAGTAGCTACGCCACCCCTTTTTACTCCAGTTGGGTGTCATCCCAGAGGAAGGACACCTTCGTGACAGAAGCATTTCATCATGCACACCTGGGACTCTGACATGGGGATTCTGACCTGTTCCAGGACCGTAAAGGCCTTCCACAAGAGGTTGCTGACGCCAAGCCTAAAGAACAGGATGAACTGAAGGCCGAAGATTTTGTCGTGGATGTAAGTGGTGAGACCAGGAACACCAGAAGTAAAGGCCTTTTGTTTTTAAGACGTAAAGTACCTGCCATTCGAAAAGTAGTACATGTTCATTATTGAAATGTATGAAAATTCCATTTTAAAATGTTCTCTGACTTCTTATATTTTTTAATATAACTGTGATCAGATGACGACTACCCAGAAATACCTAATCCGCGCCCATTGAGTCAATTCAACATACACCGACCCTGGAGGACAGGACTGTAATCTTTACTGGGGCAGATTAGCCGGTTTTGATTCTGATTTTTTTCTCCCACTGAGTGGCTGGTAGAGTCCAACCTCTGAACTTTAATGGTTGTCAGGCAAGTGCTAAAACACCGGAGCACCAGGAAAATTCCAGTCTCCCTTAGGATCCTTGTTCGCTTGTTGGTTCTCCTGGGTGACGCTTTTCACAAAGAGACTCTCAGGAAAACCTGTGAGAGCTGGAACTGCTTGGACTGCCTTGCTCTTCCTGGTCTCACAAGTTTTCGGTCTTTCACAGGGTCCTTACCACTGCTTTTCTGGTGAATGTTCCTTCTCTGGAAAGGTTTCCACCTGACACAGAATGGAGCTTCTTCAGGGTTAACTGTATTTGTTCTGTCTTAATCTAGCCCACGTGGCCTGTGGGAGCTGAAACGACATGGTATCTGTAGCGCCCGGCAAAGTGTTTATCACAAAACGTGTTCAATATACAAGTACTTTCTTTCTCCCGGGTTTCAAAACAAAATCCCTGTGAGCCAGGAATCAGAATTCTTTTTATTCCACTCTGAGACACCTGACAGTACCCTGGCTTCTGAGCCTCTAGAGATCTCTGCTGCTTTTCTTGTGATGCTTCCGCACCCTTGACTCTCCTCTCCTGGTTATTATGTAAGTGATCACCTATCTGTTGCTTTTACAAAGGTTATCAACATGAATTATGGAATGGACGACCAGAATCCTATTGATTATGTTCACTTCTATTATAAGAATGATCCCAACAAAGCAGACAAGATTGATAAAGAAAAGGTAACTGTCTACTTAAGTAAAATAAGTCTACCACAGGGACATTTGCACATTATTACAGGAATTTGCGATCTAAGTGCAGGTTTGGTTCCCTTTTAAAAAACTTTTTATTGTGAATTGGGTGAAGACTTGTAGAGCAGATCAGTTTTCCATTCAACAAGTTATACACGGTCCCCACATTGTGACATCACTTATCTGACTTCTTTCTTGCTTGTTTCTATCGCCTTCCTTCGTAACCCTTCGGGCCCTTGTCCTTGGGAAAATGCTGCCCTTTGGGTGGAAAATGGTTGCTAGTTCTTATGAGTTCTTACCTTCCTAGAGTAATTGTTCGCCTTGTAGATTTATCTAAAGTTTGACCGAAAATTGAGCCACAGGGATGAAAGAAAAAAAAGGGGGGGGGGGGATGAATCCAGTTCCAGCCCTGAAAGGGGAATAAGGGTCGCAGGTTAGGATCTAAGTCAGTGTGTAAGGGGGAGAAGAAGCACCGGTCTTTTTTAAAAAAATCATTTTATTGGGGTTCATACAACTCTTATCACACAATCCATACACACATCAATTGTATAAAGCATATTTATACATTCGTTACCCTCATCATTCTCAAAACATTTGCTCTCCACTTAAGCCCCGGTATCAGCTC